GAAACTCTTGATGAAGTAGGACATTTCCTGATGGAGCAGATGAACCCCACGTGAAGCAGAAGCCAACGAGACGGAGACCAGTACGGAAGAAGATACGTCCCGTAAAATTAAGAGACTTTGTTGTATTTTAATTTTGTGTTTGTAAATTCTATACATTAAATGAAGTTATTGTTAATTATCTATTGGGTTAGTGTAAGTGGCTATTGTTTGGGACGAACAATACTAAGGAAGGGGCAGTGTTACGACAGCGTAAGTCACGTGACGCTGGTAACACGTCATGAGTTTCTAGATGGATCATAACTTTTCTTAGCAACTCTAGCCCGGCAAATAAAGAGAGATATAGAGACAGATAATTAAGTCAAGTGAGCGGTAGTGACCATAAGTAAAGTGCGTGAATCGTTGTGAATTATAGCATGTGTTCAAGTTAGAGTGACTGTGGAAATTCTGTGTATTGAAAGAATAAACTAGTTTTATTTAAAGAAAGGACTTGTATCGCTGAAGTTCCTCGGGGAGAATTTATACCGGAAATTAACAAACGACCAGATACGTAACAATACGTTTGAAAATGTATTTTGAATGGCAAGATGATATCAGCGATTTATTATACGTCTCATCACCATATCTGAGTATCAAACCAATGGTTCTCTTGTACACAATAAGACAGCTTCCTCCTACCTCGAAGTTATCGCGCTGTCGGGCAAAATTGCAAGCACAACTCCCAAATTTCACCTGCATTTATATTCTTCGGACTTGGAATCTATGTAAATAGGTCATTTAGGGTTCCTTTGTGGTGTTTAGCGGGACAATATTACGTTGCCTACAAAACTATTTTACAAAGGACGAGTGTACAATATGAGAAAATTGCACAGTCTACAATCGTAGAACAATCAGTGAGTCATAATTTGCGCAACAAAGACGATCAATAATGGTTGGAGACGGCTTGAATGGGTAATGAAGAAAAATTTTAATACAAGTTGAACATAACAGCAAGTGATGACAAAACCTAGTACATTTGTTGTTATGTTAAACTTGTTTTAAAGGTTTTCTTCATTACCCATTCAAGCCGTCTCCAACCATTATTAGTCTCAAAGTGGGTTCCTCGTCATCGAATTTAAAGACGATCAATGTCAAAGGCCAATGAAACAAATGGATATTCTTGATACTTTAGTGTTTGTGGTACTATATTTGTGAATAATTTGTCAAAGAAAAGTTTTTATTCGGATTACACTTAATCAATTCATGTTTGATATTTACATTACGCACTCTTCTCTAAGTTAATGCGCCCCCCAGTGGCACAGCGGCATGTCTACGGACTTACAACGTTAGAATCCGGGTTTCGATACCCGTGGTGGGCAGAGCACAGATGGCTCTTTGTGTAGCTTTGTGCTTAATTAAAACAAACTAAGTTAACGCATTGTTACATTCCACCTATATTTCTTCAACATGGTAGAAAAAAAGTTTACGTCAAACTATGACGTCAGTACAATCTAGTAGCGCCCTCTCTCTTTATATATATACATACATACATATATATTCTATCATTCTTATCATAATAAAGTATATTTCTTGTGAGAGTAGAGGTTGGTAGGGAATATTATTTAACATTTGATCATATTACAGTTTGTTTCTTTGGCTTTCTTTCATTTTAAATGATGACTCTGTCAAAAAAAGAATCTTCAGTGTCTCAATTATTAGGTTTAGGCTCAAATCTGAAATGTATTCCAGTAAATGACCAAATTCGTGAGCTCCAAACAGTTATTCGGGACAAGTAAGTAGTAATATAGATAATACTAAATAGTGTAATTTAGTGCACTGTGTTGTTAGTATAAACTGTACAACTTGCAAGTACAATGATAAAAAGTATAACAAGACATTTCGAAATATCAGCATAACATTAAGGAGTGAAATAACACCTAGTTATAACGTTAGAAGAAATGCTCTTAGCATTAACAATTAAAGCGATGTTCAAATTTATCACTAAATTATTATATACTAGAATTAGTATGACTAATAAATATAGTAAATGTCAGGTTTATAGTCGTATTGAAGAAATGCTATTGCTGATACTAAGGAAGTAATAGTTTTTATGAGATTTACCTACTCAAGATTTATTTCAAATTCATTTCAAGTGCAGGCTTCATATTGATCTCTAATTTATATATTTTTAATAGTTTTTATATTTGCATAGAAATTAAATACAATTTATTGGATGTTTCTGAAATGTTAAATGATGGTAAGATTGTATGTTTTAGAGGAAACTAATTGTAAAGTAACATTGGGCTATTTTCTGTGTCCGCTGTGGGCAATTGAACCCCAGATTTTTGTGTTGTAAGTCTGTAACTTCAGTCTTAATACTGTTCCATCAGGAGACGATTAATAAAAATTTAAGTTTGAGATTAGTTAAATGTATCTAGAGATGCGTATTAAGCTTGCTTACAATTCGTAATTAATAGTATCAATATTAGTTAATATGGTATTAATATTAGGTCAATGTGTAAACTATGAAATAGCTTAATTTTATTAAATTATTTGGTGGATATAATGAAAATAGAGCATAGACTAATAAATTTCTAATTAGTTATGGTTCAAGGATGATTGGGATTTAAATGCTATAGCTACTAGTATTGGTTTATGTTTAAAAATTGTGGTATTAATTGTGGCTTCCAGGAGGCCCATGGAGACAAGTACATTTTATTTACATAGCTTACTAAGCACAGAAGATTGGTAGAGTTAGGGTAAAGGTTGCTTTGGGAGAAGCTCAAAGGTAACTTAAGGAGCTGCCATCACACACAAAAAAAAAAAAGCAAAAAATTTGAAATCCCACCAGAGGCTTCACCAGTCACTGGCACACAGGGCCTGTGTCTGGATTTTATTTGACAGTGTCCCAAATTTCCAGTTGATGTCTTGAAAATGAAAATAGAAAACCATGATTGATATTGTATTGAAACACTGAAAATTCTCGCGTCTCTGGGCCCAAGCCTCGAAATCCTACCATGATCTCTGGAAAAGGACTTTGTATGGGACCTTAAGATAACTAATTACACCCTTTGGGAAAGTGAGAATGAACAGGTGTAAGACTATACTGGTTAATCTAGCATTTAAGTATGAATCTCTAACAGTAATAGTTTTGAACCTACTGACTGTAGCAAATAACCAGATTGTTAAAAGGTTTACCTTGAAGGGATATTCTTTAATTAAGTAATCTGATAAAGTTGCTTGTACTTTTGTAGTGGGAATAATAGACATGGATGAAAAATTATGTTAGATGCTTAAGTACAGAAAGTTATAATGTGTTTACAATCTAGTTTCTGGAACTAAGGAATATTCTCTTTTTGTAATGCACGTAGGAGTGAATAATGATGTAAATTGTAAAAAAAAAGAAAAGTTGTTTAAAAGGGGCAAAAATTCCTTCAGAGATTTAGGGATAGAAATACATCTATTGCTCTTTCAGAATTGTCCATTCATTGTCAGATGTGGAAATGAATTATTTAGTAGGATCCAAGTCTTAAATGAAATATTTCCAAGGACACGTAGAGCATCAGGCAGATTGGTTAGACTTGTGTGATAGTTTTCAGTGTATGGTTAAAGTTTATGCTAGAGATGGGCTCTACTAAAGCAGGTTATGTAATAGGATGTTTGGGAAGCCTCTAAAAATACTTAAGCAAGATTTGCATTGTGGTGAGAGAGTGTGGAAAATAAACATACTGATAGGGTAACTATAGACAACAAGGAATTTGGAAATAGCAGATTTAGAGCATAACAGGTTAAATAATAGTTTAAAAGTTAAGTCTGTCAGATTTGGAGATAAAAATAGTAGATTCAAGAATAAGCTTAGCTGTAGTTCAAATGTTTTCAAGTATTATGAACAAAATGCCTGAGTCCATGGTTCTAGATTGAAAAGGAAGACTATGATATAATGGGAAATACTTACACTTAGTTAGAATTTAATAACATGTTTTAGGAATTATTTTACACATGCAAGTTATTTTAATAGACAAACTTTTTAAATGAAGGGGCTAGTGGCATTTTAAGTAAGGGATGAAGCAGCCTGTTGGAGTTGGAAGACATTAAAATAGTAGGAAAGAAGTTGAATCTGTATGGGTTACAATTGAGGGCTTCAAATGGTAGAAAGCTTTTAATTGGATTTTGGTATAGGCCACTTGATCAGACAATTGAGGTCAATTAGAATGGGATTAGAGTTGTTGCTAATAGCATTAATGATTTGGTAATAATGGGAAAGTAAGTTTAGATGCATTGATTAGATTTGTATGGAGTCAAATTCTGAGGGAGAGAGACTTTTTGAAGTGATTGCATGCGGATAGTTTTCTGTAGACAATAATCAGTGAAATGACTAAACCTTGGGTGAGGGATGAACTTTTACATTTATTGTTAACCACTAATCAGGATATAATTGGAAGAATAGAAGTGGGGAAACACTTGGGGAAGAGTGATCATTGCATAATCAGGATTGATGTTTTGTTACATGTTGATATAGAGAGAAATTAAATTTTAGTTCCAAATTTTGAAGCCATGAGACAATATGAACCATTATAATATCAGGATAATGAGTTAAAAGTAATGTGGGACAGTAAATAAGACAGTTTTAAAAGTTGCATAAATGTCTTAGCATTCTGCGACTACCCACCAAAGTGTGTGATTTTAAAATTTTTAAGAAAAACAATAGATTAATGTTACTAATGCCATGATATTTATAGCTTAGCTTATACTGGAGATGACCTCTGAGTCAGTAGTAAGTTTATTTATGGATTTATAACACTAAAATCCATGGTTTAATTCTCCATGGTGGAGCACAGATAGCCCATTTGTGTAGGTTTGCATTAAAATAAGGATTGAACTGTAGATATGCGCATTGTCTATTGTCTTACCAAAAATTTAAGAGAGAAGCTCTGTTATTCAATCTTTTATATCCTTTAAAACTTTGAGGAAAACATTATCTGGTCTTAGTGCTTTATCTATTTTTCATATTTTCACTTATTGCCAAAAGATAATCTCTTCATGATTTAAGTAAATTTCAGTGTCCCATATAGAATGTTCATGTAGGTTCAAGAGTGTTGCTAACTAACTTTCTGTCTTGTAAAAACCAAATTAAAAGAAAACATTTAAAAGCTTGGGCATATATGTAAGACTTCACTCTTCACTCATTAGTATAGATCTTAGCTTTGAAGGTCCAATCATCATTTTAATATTTTGTTAACCTTTATCATGCTTAAAATAGCTCTTGGTATTAGTTTTCACGTTATGAGCCACCTGTTTCTCATAAGCTCTTATTAATTTTCTTATTCATTGTTTAGCTAATTCCCCAGCTTTCCCTTAGCTCCTGTAAATCTTCCATCCTGTCGGTCACTTAAACTTAAATTTTCTCCTTTATGAGTTTATTAAGCCACTTAGTTTGATCTTCCCTGTTATCCTTTTAATCTTGAATTAAAAGCAATTTTTTTGAAGAGATCTCAGCTTTGTTCCACATTACTTCATCCTGATTCACTAATGATGAGACTTGTCTCATGGCCTCAAATTTGCCTTTAGTGAATTCATGTTGACTTTTTTTTAAGATATTGTATTTAACTTCATAAATGTAAGAAAAAAAATAATAATCAAATTGATATTTCTATTATTTTCAATATGTATTCCTTAGATATAGTTTTGCCAGTAATGTCTTGAGTATTAACAGATTTCCTGTCCTTTACATTGTTTGTGCATTTCATATTTTATCTAGTGCAGTATATTTGTTTTGGCACTTTACTGTATTTGTATTTCTTAAAAAAATATCAGTGATGTTGTACTTAGCATATCTAAATATTATATCATTTTTAATATTACAGTCCTGGTACTTGTTTATTTTAGGAATACGACAAGGAGTGACTTTGTATTTTATGCAGAGCGATTGGTGAGCTCAAATATAAATACTTTATGGATATTTTTTTATATCAGTGTATTTTCATATTATGTAGTTAATACTTCTTAAATTAGTTTCTTAGTTTACATGTTTTGTGTTTAACGAACTTTTGTGTAGTCGGTGCATTTTTATTTAAATGTTACTCAATGAATTTAGATCAGGTCATTATACTTCTGTGAATACTGTACTTTTTGAAGAATTAAATGCCCTTTTTATATCAATGGTTGTATATTGCTACAGAAGTTAGAGTACGTGTGAGATTGTATTAGGGGATAGATGGCTATTTGATCCTTTTTAGGTCATACTGATTTAACATTAATATGTTTTGTACAATATTAATTTGATTTTATGTATAATTTGTTATTGGAACATATTACATTCATTTTAAAACCTGTTTTTTATCTTTAGTACATGAGCTGTCCTTGGAGTCATAAATATAAATCTGCCACTTGTATTTAAATAACTAGGGAAATTAACATAGTGTCTATTGCTGCTAAGGAATCGCTATTTGTGTTATAGCCTTCAAGTGCATGTAAGAAAAAGTTCTTAGAAATGTATGAAATCGTATATAGTCGCTTCAAATATCAAGATGTTACTTTCACCTTTTAAATGAAATAACGTTTCTCTTAAAAAGCTACCACTCCCAGGCCAGTCCTTCTGTAGCAAATTAATAAAAAAAAAGGAAACTATATGAAAGATATCTATTATATATACATGTGTGTGTGTGTGTGTAATAAGTTTTATCATAAGCTTGATAGGTGTGGCTGAATCTATTCTAATAAATATCCAGGAAACAATTTTCTACTGTACATGAACATAAGGTCACCTTGTATTAGAGCTTAACTGTAGAAACTCTGGGTTAGAAAACATAAGTCTGATGGTCTTAAAAAGGTAACATGAAATAGTTAAAGAACAAAAAGCAAAATTGTATTGTTAAATGTATCTAGTAAGAGAATCAAATTTAACATATATGTGTATATATATATCTGATTCTTATAGACTAAAAAAAAAAGCAGTATCACTTGAATTAGTTTAACCATGGTTTCATTTAGAGCTAGGCGATTAACTTTATTAATTTATATGATCTTTTAGTTCAAGTTCTGAGCATCAATTACTTCAATTAGTGTCACATAAAAATAATTGGTTCATTAAAAATAAAATTAGAATGGGTAATGTCATGAAAATAATTAACTGGTGTTTCCAAATATTCCAACTATCCAGTTATCAAAGTTATTATTAAATCAATTAATTTCATGAAAATAATTAAGTAATTCATTTCCAGTTATTATTGTTTCTGATTATTCCAGCTATTTGGTAATCAAAATGTTACCATTATAATTTTTCATTGTTACTTTGATAAATTCAGATTTGTTCAGCTTAATCAGCTAGTGTCAAAACTCGCAAAAATAATTAATTACTCAAAATTTGATTTTTGATTATTCCAGCTATTCATGTAATCAAAATGTTACCATTATAATTTTTCATTGTTACTTTGATAAATTCAGATTTGTTCAGCTTAATCAGCTAGTGTCAAAACTCGCAAAAATAATTAACTACTCAAAATTTGATTTTTGATTATTCCAGCTATTCATGTAATCAAAATGTTACCATTATAATTTTTCATTGTTACTTTGATAAATTCAGATTTGTTCAGCTAAATTAGCTAGTGTCAAAACTCGCAAAAATAATTAACTACTCAAAATTTGATTTTTGAGTATTCCAGCTATTCATGTAATTGAAATAAAGCTGTTATGTTTGTGTTCTCAAGTGCAAAGCTATGCAATGGGCTGCTATCTGTGCTATGACCACCATGGGTATTGAAACACAATTTGTAGTCCAAAAGTTTGTTTTTTGTAGTCTTAAGGGAATAATCAGTTGGCAAATTCCACTAATTGTTTAGCTCTAGTTTCAATAAAGTATACTCAGTGCCATTGGAATTTTTTCTATTTCATCTCAACAAAATAATTAATAAAAAATGATGTTAGGTTCACCAGAGTTGTCATGCGAATTATTTGAGTTTCTGTAAAGTTCATTGTTCTTCATGTGTCTCAAAGTACAGATGATGATAATAAATTCCTTAGTTATAATTATCACCTTGATTCATAGCTGTTCAGAATGTTTTTTAAGGAAAAACAAATACAGTATTTGTCAAAGTTGCTGACTTTAATGTACAGTTCAGTAAATTTTTATTTATTTTAGAGTAAGAAATAAAAATGGAAAGTATTTTTTTAGTTATGAAGAAATGTGGTTTGTGCTCAGTTATTGAAAGCAAACTATCAAGGTGATTGCAAGAGAAGTTGGAAGATTAGAGTAATAACTATCAGGCAGGCAAAATTTTACATTATTTACTAAGTGTAAATCAATCTAATTTGTGCAAACCAGAAAGGCATTTAGAGAATTTGTTAACATAAGAAATTTTGACTTCTATCATATAGTTACTAAAAATATCCATTGGTATTGTTAGAAATTTACTATAGACATTGGTCACTATTATAAATTTTTATTACCAACATTAATTATCTAAGTCAGATGGTTGTTACAGATATTATATAACTATTGGTTCAAGTAATAACTTGGTTTACCTCTTTTTCTTTATTGGAAGTAAGTTTACGAATAAACAATGCAGGTATAATTCTTTTTTTTTTTCTTTTTCTTATGTTAGTACACAAGGTTTTGACTTGGTATGTTATTTCATAGGAAAAATTTGGATTTAAGTGTATTTCATTATGTAGCAAGGTACATTTTATGTATTGTCAATATTTCGAATTTTTCTGAGTTAAAAGTGAAGGTTATGTTTAGTATTTCAAAAATTTTGTTTCTGTTCATTTATTGTTTATTTTGTCATTGAGATCCGTTTGGTTGTGGAAGAAGGTCTCAACCAACTGTCTTTTACTTCCTATACTGTTACAACACCTACTGGTGAGTTTCTTTTATTATTTAACAGAAAATATATAGATAAATAAACAGGTTTCATTCTTTGTTACAGAATTGAGGAAAAGCAAGACAAATGTACATTTCACAAATACATCATTTATTATAACCATGGTTGTGCCAGTAAAGTCATCATTAGGTACAGACTGAAATGTTTTGTAGCAGGGTTTTTTATATGTTTAAACAAAGAACCAGAAATGACTTTGACATTCACCTAGAGACAAGTGGGGAGGAGCTTAAGTTTGTTTGGTCATTTAGAACTTTTTCTGGATTTCTTTTTAGACATCTGTTTGTTTTTTAAGTTTCCAGACTGTCTAGTTTTTACCTTTCTCACAAATACCTAAAATTTTGCAGTTTTATTTTCTGGATCAAATTGGTGTTTAGTTTCAAGAAGATGGGATCCAAAGGTTGAATCCATTTTCCTTAATTTTCAGCTTCTATAGTGCTCTTTAATTCTTGTTTCTATGGAACTTCCTGTTTGACCTAAATATACACTATTGCAGTCTTGACATGCTAATTGGTAAACACCACTGTTGCAGTACTTTTCGATTCTGTCTTTGTTGTTGTGCAACATTTTTTCTAGGTTGTTTTTTCAGTAGAAGGCTGGTCTGTAGATTTCTTTGTTCAGTGTGTTATATATTTTGCGAAAATGTTTTCCAATGGAGCTCATTTTAAGCTTTTTTTTTCTTTCTGTTGTTGTTTGGTACAGTGTGTGGACATATTGATTTTAAATTTATTGCTTTCAGTTTTTTAAACAATGTGTTAATTAACATTGTTGTATAATCATTGTTAACATCAATTTGTTTTATAGTTTTTAATTCAGTTTCAGAATCCTCAGATGACAAGGGTACAGTGATAGGTTAAACAGGAAGTTCCATAGAAATGAGAATTAAAGAACACTCTAGAAGATGGAAATTAAGGAAAATGGATTCAACATTTGCATCCCACCTTATTGAAACTAAACACCAATTTGATCCAGAAAAAACTACAAAATTTTACATATCTGTGAAAAAGGTAAAACTAGACATTCTGGAAATTTTAGAAATAAACAGACGTCTAAAAACAAATCAGAAAAAGTTCTAAATGACCAAACTAACTTAAGCTCCTCCCCACTTGTCTCTAGGTAAATATCAAGGTTATTTCCGGTTCTTTGTTTAAACATGTATAAAAAACCTTGCTACAAAACATTTCAGTCTGTACCTAATGATGACTTTACTGGCACAACCATGGTTATAATAAATGATGTATTTGTGAAACATACAATTGTCTTGTTTTTCTTTAATTCTGTTATTATGGAGTTTCACCAACTACTGATGGTTTCAAGTATCAATTAATTCTTTGGTTTCTTTAACACTTCAACTGTGGTTGACATCATATTATGTTAGTGTAGGTGACTGTGGTTGACATCATATGATGCAAGCATTTTGAGCACAACATTCTGAATTCCTGCTGCAAAAATTCACGAATCTTTGTGCATGAGGTGGTAGGCAGACTTATACAAGCTGCAAACAAAAGTTTAAAGCAGTGGCTACATAATGAATAAGAAGATTAATTAATTTCTAAATGCTCTGAGCAGCTCAAAAGGCCCTTAATCACAGGGACTTTTTTCTTCAGAATTTTAAACTTTTACCAATTTTAGTATTGTACTCATTTTAAAGAAAAGTGTTTTCAATGAAAGTTATCCAAAAACACTTCACTTAGTAACAGGTGAGTGCTTAAAAAATTGCATCAGCAATGCACTTCTCAGGCAGGTACTCATGTGGTGCATGTGCACTGACAGGTAGCTAAGTGCAGTACACACGTAGTGTGGATGATTTGAGAAAGATATTGGTGCATGTGCACTGACTGGTAGCTAAGTGCAGCACACACG